TTTGTCCCTGAAGGGGCAGGCAGCTCGATTTCCAGCTGGAAAATAGCTGCTTAGTGCAACTGAAGTGATTCAAATGTGGGTTTCTTAATTATTTTTTATCTCTCACTGGGCGTTAGTGCCATAGATCGTGCTGTGACACTCATATCTACACGTTTCGTGCGCTTGCCTAATAAATGAAAATGTTGGATATTTTAGTGGTTGGATGATAAGAGAGTCCCCTCTGTCGCTGTATTCGTATCGTCGCGGACAATGCCCCATCTGTGAACTTTTTTGTGTCGAAGAGTTTCCTATGAAGGCAGCTGTATTAACCATATGGAATGCTGACCGAATGACATTGTGTATATATACACTAGCAGGAAAAAATGTATTTTTACTTGTCACTATAGAGTGATAATACAAAGAAACAATAAGTTCAAAGATTGGTTTTAGTTTTTAATAGTGACAGGTAGTGAAATGAAAACTGATATTTTTAAACGTGTATGAACTAGAAACTACAACGTTCTTTCTTTGAGACATTAAGTGTTTCTCCTCTGGAAGTTCTCCCCATGACAGCTGTGTCACAAAATACTATTTCATCTTTAAGAACTTATTGCTTAAGCATGTATTGATGCTTACTTAAGGCTGTTACTCTGTATCACATTAGGGTACAAACTGTTTCAGTTTCACCGGTCCTTTCTGGGTAATGAGTGTTTTCTCAGTGAGGTATTTTCCTTTCTGTCTGTTTTTTCTGATGCCTTTTGCCATACCATATGTGTTGCTTTTTAGTATCGTTATCACCTTGTTTCACGGGCTGTATTTGACAGGAATAGCTCTGGTGAGGAGGTGAGTTGAGTGTGAATTGAGAAAGAAGAGGGAAGGGTTGGACATTTGTGCTCTAAAGGAAAGAAGACCTAGTGCCCATCTTTGTACGCAGTTTGGTAGATGCCAAATGCATGGAAAAGCCTTTGGGTACCGAAACTCTGCTTCTTGGGGCTGTTTCAGGGGTAGTGGCTGGTGTGCAGGGAGCACTGAGAGTCTTGGTTCCTGCTGCATAGTTCATTCTTTCTTCATTCTCTGTGTGAATTACTGAGCACAGGCCTCTCTGGTGTGGGCATGTGGACACAAAATGTCTAAAAAGGGAAGCATACCTTAAAGAAAAGGTCAAGAATTTCTTGTTGGAATAGTTGAAATCTTGAGAGCCTAATTATTATTACATCAGATCTTAGTGCTGCAAAAAAGAAAGAATACTGGTGCAGTTACAGCAGTTGTGCTGCCTGTTGCCAAGTCCTAAGGTCGGTGGTTTCATCCTGGTGCTGGTGTGAGCTGATACAGAGAGCTGTCAGCATCAGGTGTCCTTCACCGGCTGTGTGTGATTGCTCATGGTTGTGCTTTCATCTTCCTCGCTCTGGGATCCACTTGGGATTGTTTTATGTGCTTGGGAATGTGACTTTGCTCTTCACTGGTTATTCCATGAAGCTCTGTGGTTAGCTACCACCATTGGTTAGCTCCACAGTACATCTAAGAGAAAGGCACTGTGTATTAAATACTATTTCTTTCTTGTTTGTTATCCCCAAAGCCAATTTTGTTCAGGTCTGTGTTTCTTTTAGCCAGCGTCTCTCAATTGTGGGGTGTTCTGTGCCGGGTCTGTAGAAGCCATGTCTGTTTATCACATGTGCCTGTGCCTGCTGTGTCCTGTGCCTTCCCTTCCCAAGGCCACTGCTCCCATTCCAGGCCTGCATTTCTCTACACTGCATTATTGTTGTGGCCTTGTGATTCCCTCATTCTGTGCAGTGCCTGTTTGTCACTGATGCTATATGAAACTGTGCTTGCAGCACGCCCAGGTAAACAGCATAGCACCAGTGGGGCATGGGCACCTGGTTAATGGGAGAAACTGCTGTCACAGCTAAATGAAGGAACAGTTGCAGCAGGTCAGGAGTTCAGTCAAAGTAAGCCTTGACAGGCTTTAGTCCCAAGTCTTGCCAGTGTGGTAACCTGCTCAGTAATTGCTGCCAGCAGTGACAGGGCTATGGCAGGGAGAGGGGGGTTGTGGGACAGTACAAACAGCCATGTGTTTGGGAAAACAGGACAGGATGGATACACTGGCTGTGGTTTGTAGCAGGGCCTTTGAGGGATGGAAGTGAGGATGGACCTGGAAGGCCAGTCATGTTTTGGAGCAGGTGTTACCTGCAGAGGTGACTTTCATTTCCTGGGGGTCTTGGTTCTAGGTGACATCCTTGTGAAGTCACATTCCCCTGGGAGAGAAGATGCACTGCATGTTTGCATCTGTGGCTTGAATTTGGAGTTCCAAAATCCCCCATCAGTCTCCCCTCCTTTTCTGTAAAGTGAGAGAGGAAAGGCCCTGTGTAATCAGAGGCTTCCAGTTGGATTTGCTTGCTGTGTTTTCAGCTCTGTGCCATATAGTGCTGTACTGTTTATTCCCTCCTTTTGCAGTTATGTTGCAGGTACAGTCCCTTATATCCTTGTTGGCTGCAGCTCCCAAAGCGTGTGGCAGCTCATGGGCACAACTCGTAGTGCAGAGGAAGCATGTGGGAAGGTGCAGGTGGTTATGTTTATGCTGTGAATATTTGTTTGAGAATCCATGTGGTGACAGGAAGGAGATTTTCTGCTTGACACACTGAGACAGATTATGTAAGGTACAATTAATCTTTACTCTGCTTTTCTCCCCTCAGCCCCATTTGACTTCTGTAGTGGAGTTTCCTCGTGCCCTGTTTCTGCTGAGTATGGTGGTGGTCACAGCAATAGGTATTGATGTGTGTGGGGAAATGAGGCTGAGGATGAATTTTGTCCCTATGTACTTACGCCTGTTTGTGTAATCAGACCCTGAGTGAGATGATAGCTGTGATGAGCAGGAAAAGAATGAAAGGCAAGACTGTAGTCTGTTATGAAAACACTGCAAATCTATACAACAAATCTATGCTATGCCAGCACCTCTGTAATGCCCTTCTGCAGCTCTGTTTGTGCCTCCTGCTGCTGTGCATCTGCCACTGAGAACATATTTATCTAGAATGGTCCAATACATGGTGACTGTGGTGTGTTAGGTGCTTTCTAAAGGTGGAGAGTGTCTTGGGTAAAAATAGCTCCTAAGCCTGAATAGGGAAGTTGCTTTAATTGTTTCCTCTTCAAAATTTTTGTGTTTGTGGTGATCACTCATTTTCAAATGAAGTTTCATGGGAAATATTTCAATAAAAATATGAGAGATCTGAGTTTTCAGGCTTTTCTAATTGAAGAGCAGGTTCTCTGATGTATAGTCTAGCTCCTTTTGGGAGGGCTGTTATGCTTTGGTTCTTTGATATGGTGTAACAGCAGAAGGTATGTCAAGGTTCCATCCTACTGTCTTTGAAATTTAGTTAGGATTTTTTTTAATGTTTGTGAAGAAAGGCTGTTATAAACTACAGAACTCTGCTTTGAATCTGAGCCACAAATTGCTGCTGCAGACTTCCTAGTGAGCGTGCTGTGTACTCTATGTTACAGATTATTGCTTGCCTAGAATATGGATCTTTCCCTTTGAAGGTGTTAGCTTGTCATGTGTTTGTCCTCTTCTCCCAGCTTCAAGTCACCTTCTTTTTCTCTTAATAGTTTTTCTTAGCTTCAGTAGGTAGTGTTTAGCTGTGTTTATTCTTCTGCCCTTTAATAATGTGACCTGTTGCCTAGGCATTCCACTCTGATCATTCATGCCTATTGCTTTGGAAATTACAGGTGCTGGCTGTGATTCTGCAGCCCAGAGTGAACAGAGCTGCTAAA